GAGAAATTCAACAATAAAAGTCCCATATAAGGCATAAATATGGGACTTTTATTTTGGTGCTTTTTCTCCGCATTTCCCATAATGCTGAGAATATTTTACACTTGTAATTTAAGTGCGGCTGATTTGACTACGGAGATCGGAATAACAGCTGGCTTGACCGCAGTCTTTTACATTACTAAAACATTTGCAAACTAAAACAGCTTTAAACAAATACATCTCCCTCTTTCAGCACATCCTTCATTCAACACCTCCTCCTCCTGACTTTAATATCCAATCAGTATTCTAAAGTAACTTCCTCCTGCTGTAACTAAGCAGAGGTATGTTGGTGTGAACCTGCAGGGTGGTATTATCTTTATTACCATACAGGGTACAATCTTCCATCACACACACTGATTTTAATGGGCATAATGGAGGAGAACGTGGGATTCATCATTGTGCTGCTCACTCACGCTGCAGTGGCCTCAGCAGGTAATATGGTAACAGCCAGTTTCCATCATTTCATACTAAACTCAGCTTGACATAACTGAGTTTCTGTTCTCAATAAATGTTGGAAGACAGGTGATTTGTGTTTGATCGCACTCAGCTGCTAACTTCTCTAAATGAAACAGACTGTAAATATTCTGTTCATATGAATGAATACATACTTATGTCTAGTGTATTAAAAGGCCATGACACAATGTTAATACATGCAAAAGATTTTAATTGTCGATAATCTTCTTTTTAATCACCATTATTATTATTATTATTATTATCATTATTGTTGTTGTTGTTGTTGTTGTTGTTATAATAACAACAACAAGCAGAAATAATTGAAACAGACGTTATTTGCACAGTACTGAATAATTAATTGAATAATAGCACCCATTTTCTATCCACTACGGTTATGTGAATATTAGGAGTTGCCATTAAACCATTTTAGAAGAAGTGGAGCTTCAGAGGAAACAATTTTACCAACTCAGTCGAATTTAAATATTTCCAAGTGTTTTTTGGAGCCCAATTTGACAATGCATGTAGGTAGATGTAAATGCACCTAGTGTGTGAGCAAATGGGTGATTAAGAAGCCAACTGTGATTTTGCATCTTTATAAATGCAGCCTGTTAATCGAAAAAACAGAAGGAACCTGTTTTGAAAGTAGGCTAACTCTGACTCTAGGCTAAAACAGCTTCATCTGGTCTAATGTGTGTTTCTTCAGCAGACCCTGAGGTACTTTGCTCATCGAAGCCAGTAACAGCAGCACTCGGTGAGGATGCGACTCTGCAGTGCCTCCTTCGTCCCCCTCAGGATGCGACAAATATGACGGTGGAGTGGCATCATGAATATCTTAACCTCACTGTGCACCTGTATGAAGACAGGAAAGACAATCCTGCTGAGCAGAAGGAGCACTCTGAGGGGCGAACTTCTCTCTTTCGTGAGGGGCTGACCAAAGGTAACCTGTCACTGAAACTCTCTGCTGCAGTCCTCTCTGACGCTGGAAGATACAGATGCTCCATTCACACTGACAAACTGCAGAAGAGCTGTTATGTTACCCTCACTGTTGGTATGTACACTGAAGATCAAGTCATTTTAACCTCTTTTTTTACTTATTAAAGCAGCAAACAGCATCTATCTGTCCCCAATAGACACACAGACACACAGGAAGTACAGACAGTAACAGGAAGAAATGTTAGAAAGTTAAAACCTTGAAGAGTATATTAAAATATAATATAATATATAATACAGTATGCAATATATTCAGAGGATACATATTATGTAAGGGTAAGGTAATACTTAATTTGAACTTCAACATCGAAAATCGATTCTTTGAACACTTATTTCAATTTCCCAGCAGAGAATAAAGACAGAAAGCAAGAAGCAGATTCTAGTAAGTAAAACAAACAAACAAACAAACAAAATCATCCTCTTTTCTCTCATCAGAGGGCTATTTAGCATCTATAGCAGATTAAAACTTTCCACTTATTCTGGTTGAATTTAGCCATGACTCGGTTGTAATACATATTGTTATTATTATATTAA